ACCCCCAAAAACAAAAAAAAAAAAAAAAAAAGAGGCAAAGGAATTAACTAAATATGCCAAACTAATTTATAAGAACATTCAAAACATTTTTGGCTTCCATTTTTTTAGGTATACCTATATCTTTTTTATATTATCAAGTATATTTATCAATTAATGTTTATAATTACTTGTTGTTAGTTTAGTAATAGCTTTATATAAATACCTGGATCTTTGTGTTTCTAAAATTTGTCCTAGTCCATTTATTGATCTGAAATAAAAAATAGTGAGAGAAGGTAAAAATCCAAAGGTTAACTTTTTAGAAAAGCAAATAAATCATATTATTTCTAAAACAACTGGAACTAAAAAAACTGAAAATAGAAAACAAAATTTGCATCTGGTTATTGTTTATTCTTGTCCTTCAATCTGGTATATTCATCTCACACATTAAGAAATCATGAACATAAAACCCACTGCACAACTGAAGGACCAAAGATGATTTCATCATTTATATAAAGACCCTTCGCTTTAGAAAAAACTATCACAGCCTTAAAATAAGGAGAGTCTTCCAATATTTGATAGCCATTTGTTCCCCACACACATTTTGGAAATGGCTATAACACACACTAAATAATGGAATATGGTTCCTGTTGTATGGTACCAAAAAGTACCTGTTAATTACTTTTCCACACAGTGAACATCTCATCTATTTGGATTTATATCATCAATTTGACTGTTTTTCGGGTCACTTGATCAAGACGGGTGTTATGTGTTCAAGCACAATCTTCTCCAGGGGTAAGTTTTCCCTCAGGGTGATTCTGAGTCAAGTCTCTCTACTACTTTTTTCAAATGTTTTACAAAATTCTTAATCTCCTTTTCTGAATATATTCTATAGCCTGATACCTATTTCCTTCCAAACATATTTAACTTCTCCTCAAATTTGATTGCAAGTCAGTCAAAAGTCTGATGTACCTTGGATTATAAAAAAATCCAAAGAACCCGTAGTTTATCAAAGTACCTCTTTCTTTTCTAGTACTGTTTTAAAGTATAGGCTGTCCATAAAATGGCTAAAAGTCAATATTTACAAACCTGGAGAACCAGTATAGTCAATATGAGGACATAAAGGCCATCTAATAGTAATCCCTCTCTTATGCCAAAAATGTTTGCAAAGAGATTATGTCCTATCTAGTAAACTCTACGCATATTATTATTCAGCAATCATTATTCATTGCAAACTATTTTTTAATGAATCATACATTTACTGATTCAATTCATAACATATACTATATCAGTGATGCCAAACCTATGGCATGTGTGCTGCACTGGGCTGTTGGTTGTCACTAAAAGCTCTAAAAGGTTCACCATCACTGTACTATATGAACTAATACAACAGATTCTGATGTCAACAGAAGTTATAAATAATAAATATGGCATTTTTGAGCCATCATGCACAAAGAACTATACCTATTAAAGATGAACAAAAATAAAATACTGAACATGTCTCCTTTTTATGGCATTTACTACTTTAGATTTTACAAAAAATTCAAAATAAAGTCATTGAACTCCAACCTCATCTTAAAAGTCTATCTTTGGTTTAAAAAAAAAGTCAACAGAACAGTCAGCAGACTGTTAGATCATTTAACAAATAGCCGAATATTATTCATACTGTCCTTGTTGATCAGCATTATCCATGGACACTGAAGACATGAAAGCAAACTGGAAGCAAAGCACAGCTGACTTAAGAAAGACATAAAGTCAAAAAAGGTTCAGGGGAAAGTGAGACCACCTAGGTCTAGGAAGACTTCATTAAAAACATAGGAAAGGGAGAAAATAGGTTCTAGAACAGTGATGACTATAAAAGGGATATGGTGGTGATGGGGGAATTGAAATAGGCAACATGAGAAAATACGAGTGAAGTAGGGACTTGGCAAGACACATCCATGGGAAAGTAAATGACTATCTGGGATAAACTTAGGGAGCTCAAGGGTAGGAAAGAGTCAAGGAGAAGATGGGAAAAGAAGGGTGGAAGAGGATCCTGAATAAGTCTATGAATTCTGAACTACATTCTGCAAGCAATGGGGAATAATTTTATATATTTCCATTTAATAGTCAACCAACCAGTCAACAACAAAATATATGCTTGCTTAATGATTTTTGAAACAGGTCATTCTTGAAACTTATGTTTGTTCAAGGCAATTTTGAACATAGTTAACACAATTTTGTACCTAATGAGTTTATTTCTTTAAAATGTTTATTTAAATTTATTTAACTGATATATAGAAACATAAAAAGTACACATATAAGCAGTGTGCCAGGAGATGTTTTAATACATGTATACATAAAATGCTTAAATCAAGTTAAATTTATCTCCTCGAACATCTCATCTCTTCATAAGGAAAACATTAAAAATTTGATCTAGCTTTTTGAGATACACAGTACACAAATGCTATCTACTGTACCTAATAGCTGTTCTTAATTTGTTTAACTCCTCTTCTGAAATCAAGTCTGTTTTATTGATGAGGATGATATCTGCTAAAGCAACTTGCCTAAAATAGCAAACAAAACAGATGTTAAAAGGGAAATTAAGAAATTAAAAATAGAAACAATTCATTCAAATAAAAATATCAATTAAGAACTACTAACAGTTCTACAGAACAGATTCAGTTCCAGTGGACCACTGACTTATGAACTCAATTCATTCACAAGGGCTGGCTGTAACTCAAGTCGGTCAAGTGAAGGCTCAGGCTCTTCTACACAGCCTTCAAAGTCTCTCTTCTGTATATAGGCATATCTCAGTGTCCTTAAAGAGACATTGGCCCAAGATTTCTCAATTAACCCCACACAGGAAAGGCTGTTGTAATGTTCCGTCTTGAACTCTTTTAAGGGTTAAATCTGTATCTGAGACCATCTGGAAGCACAAGTGGCCAGCATTTGGGTTGTAACTCAAGACTCTGGTCTTAAGTTAAATTAAAATGCTGGTCATAACCCAAGTTGTTCTTATGTCTGGCTGGGCATAACTCGATGGTCTACTGTACTCCTAATCTACTTATTCTTAAGAGAGTACAAGTAAATTATATTCATCACTATATAAATTCAAATTTCACATTACAGTGAAAAGTATTTGCCTGTAATCCCACTACTTGGGAAGCTGAGGCAGGAGGATCGCTGTGAGTTCAAGGCTATCCTGAACTATATATAGTGAGTTCAAGGCTAGCCTGAACTACATAATGAGACCCTGTCTCAAAAAACAACAGGAATAAAAAAAAAGTATTGAGTATTCATTTGACATTCTAAAGCCTATAGTTTATAAGAAGTTTTACAATCAAAACAATGGTTTTGAACTCATTAATTCTAAAGAAAAATTTTAAATTAATATATTCGATGATAGGAATAGTCTATTTACTAAAGTATTTCTTGTGATATGTACTGTAATTTTCAAAGAATTAAAGAGAACAAGTTCACTTAACATGAAATACTAATTGAACAGTTTTGTTAAAAAAAAAACCTACACTTCAGAAGATGTATCAGACTGTTGGACAAATACCTTCTTCATCACTAAAAATATACATTATCTCTGTAGAATATACAGAAATTCCAGCTAAAGAATTCACTTGACAGAATGCCAGCTAACAAAATAGATTATTTTAATTAAAGTTCTATTTTCCATTAACAGGAGTAGTACAACCAAGAAATCTTTCAATTTTTCTCAATTCTTCAGGAAATTTTAAACACCAGACTATTTGTTTCTAATCCCAGTTTATGCTATATAATAAAGAACATAAATTTTAAAAACTAAAGTAATTCATTAAAAAGGCAAATTTCAACAGAATGTATGTTTCAAAATATCATTTCTGTTTAAGTAAATTTTATACAAATAAAGATGGAAAGTAAATATTTCCAAATATAACCAGTTGCAATCTTCAAATTAATTTCTGTTTATTCCTAATCTTCTATGTTTACTTCTATGGACTTCTATATTTAATTCTTTTGGCTTTATAACATTTTGTTATTTTCCATTTGGCTCATGCATATTTTCTATAATAAACATTTCCTCAAGGGAAAAAGTTACAATAATATTTAAATTCATTCTAATTTGAATCATAATCATATGCCAAGCACAGTGTTTAGGGAGGGTTACAAAACAGGATATTATACTGCAAAGTCATATGCAACCAATTGCTTGCTGTCTCGTCTAGATCATCTATACCAAATCCCAGGGGACCTTGCTCTTAAACCCAGCAGCACAAACCTTTTATTCTATTACCAAGAATATGCTTAAGGTAGGCAAGTTAAAGATGTATAAATATAAAGACTACATCAATTAGGAACATAAAGGCATTTAAATTTAAAAATATTTTAGTGCCAAAATAAAGTATTTCCATATTTGTTATGCTCTTTTGAATAGCAGCAAACACTGAGGCAGTTTTCAAGCCAGTAAATGAAGGGCTGGGGATGCAGCTCAGTGGCATCGTGCCTGCCTGGCAAGCACAAAGTCTTGAGTTTGATTCCTAGTACTAGAAAGAAAATATAAAAACACCAGCCTTAAGGCAGTGAGAAAACTATTTTTTATAAAAATAGTTAACCCCCCTCAAAATGTATGAGAAAAAGAAAATATTTCAAGTGTTAAGATTTCTCAAGTTCCTCACAATCAAAGAACTTCTGAATTCAGCACTCACTTCACACTGCAATATAAATGATTTTAAATAAACTAATAGGTTATCAGACCACCATGAATAGATGCCAATAATTCATGGGAAAAAATAAACTTACTTAACTGTGCTTTTTTGTTTTTCAATTTGTTTTGTGGTTTCATATTAACTCTTTCTCTTTGTGATTAGCCAACAATCAATACAAACTTTAAATATGAATACCTAGTAGCTTCATTAGTAAGGTCATCAGGTTTTTCTTCTTCTAAATGCTAAACAAAAGCAAAGTTTGAAAAAAGTTACTATGATATAGTACAAAATCTATGTGACACAAAGGATTTTACTTTAGAGTCATTTTCTTGCCTCTAATAAAGACTTTAACAAATTCCTTTACTAAATATATAAATTGAGAACCACCTTTTCTGTTTATTTTCTTGAAAATTTTCTACTTGTTGACAGCTAATACTTATAAATCTTTATGGGGCATAGTGGGATGTTTCAGTACATTTATACATTGTGTAGTAACTCAGGATAGGTCATCCATCATCTCAAACATTTGTTATTTCTTGATGATGAACAAACACACTCAAAATCCTCTCTCCCACCTTCTTTGAATTATACCAAATAATATTGTTATATTTAATCACCACTTTGTAATAGAACATAAGAACTTATTCCTACCTAGCTGTGACGGTATTCATCAACTAATCTCTCCCTCTTCCTCTCACCAGCCTCTTGTAACCATTATTCTGCTCTTTATGTCTATATACTCAGCTTTTTTCAATTGGGCCTATAAGTGAAATTATGTAGCATTGTACTTTTCTTTTTGTGCCTGGCTTATCAGAACTAACTTTTCTATTCAAAAGCATTTTTCTTCCCCATCTGCATTTGTTTTTTAGACAATGAACCCATAGGAAGAGGAGATTAGAATTCTGTACTCCTGCCCTTTTCTTTTTCTTAAATCCCTCATATTTAAGTATTACAAAAATACAAAAAATTACTGTTCAGATGTTAGGCATTTTCCTTTCTATAAAACTATTCTTGGCCTAAATATTCATTGTTATTAAAAGGGGCCTAACCACTGTAATTGTACTTTCTTAAAAATCTAACATACTTCTCTTACACTCCTACCCCCATGTTCCACTCAACCCCTAAATCATGCACAATATGAACTCCATATTTGGCCCTTCAAATTTCCCTTGAAACAGGAGAATTAGGAAAAACAAAGCCCTAATTCTGACATAAAAGCACTTTATTATTTGGAAACATATTCAGAATGATCTGACTTCTGAGAATATTGTTTTAGTTTACTGCTCTCACTAGAGAAGTGATGGTAAATAAACCTTTCATAGACAGAGGGCCCAAAGTGCAACCCAAAACCCACTTATCACAAAGTGCCACTGAAATTAAACCTGAATACCGATGATTTTGTTTAGAAAAAACATTTCATACATTTGGCTCACATGTTGACAGAGAGGTCTCTGAGTGCCCACTATAGCGTGCGTGTCATAGGTTCACTGCCACTGCTCTAGTCAGGTTAGCTCTAAATACACTTTGACATTGACTTAGAAGCACATGAAGTGCAGTCACCCCTTTGAGAGCAGGATTTTTCTTTCTCCCAAACATGTTCATATCCTAAAGTCATCAGCGCCTTAAGATTCTCCTCTGGAAAATCATGTTTTCGCCTCAAAATCCTTGTCACAATAAAAAGCTGGCTACTGAAGGTTAGAGGCAACTAGATTATAGCAATATTCATTATATTAGAACTTTATAAATTATACATGTATTATCTAATCTAGCCTTCATAGCAATTATGGGAAGAGATTATTCCTATTTTATAAAGGAAGAAACATCCTTAGCATTACAGGATAACGGATACCATATTTTTATACACCATCAGAGGTATTTTTTCATTGGCAGTATATTCAACAGAAGTAAAATGAACATAATTTTAAAATCTTTCATTGTCTTTTCATATCATACAAAATCAGCCTTGTATACAGCACTACCTGAGTGTTAACAATTGCCTAGGAGAATATATTTATAAAGATTATCTAAAATTACATTCAAGATGATTTTACCAAGCCAGTTTCATTTTTTGGGGGGGTACCAGGGATCAAACTTGGGACCTTGCACTTGCAAGGCAGGCAGCAGCACCACTGAGCTAAATCTCTGGCCCCAGTTTCACGATTTATTGCAAAGTGATCACAAAGTTACTTGGGTACTATGAAACCTAACCAAGTTGGCAGTGATTTCATTTAATTATTTCAGCTAAGACTTTGCACAAAAAAATCATTTTTAATGATAATAAAAATAAATAATAATAATAATAATAATAAAAATCATTTTTAACTTCAACAAAACTAAAACCTTGGCAATATATTCATTATCACTTTAGGTGTGAAAAAACAAATCCTAATATTACATACTCCGTCTCTAGAGGATTTAATGTTTTTTTGTTTTGTTTTGTTTATTTGGTGCTGGGGATCAAACTCAGGACCTTGTGCTTGTGAGGCAGGCGGCAGAACCACTGAGCTAAATCCCCAGCCAAACTCTGTCTCCAGAGAATGAGACTACTACCAGAAGTTAGAATATGGTCTAGGACACAAGCCCAAGAAAATAGTCCTTGAATGGACTGTTGCAAATACCCTCCCATTTGTTGACATGGGTATATAAATATTATTTGAAAAATGTTATCTAACATGTAACAACAAACCCCTCTCCACTGTGCAGTAAATTTAGTTAACAATGATACTCTATTAGCAAAGTATTACCCTCTGGATGATCCTGCAATACTGAAAATTTTTTCAAAAATATGAAATACTTTTCAAGATATTGTATTATTAACCTTTTGGAATTTCTTTACATATAAATTTGGGCCATGAGTTGGTGAGACATAAAAAACGTATGATACAAAAATTAAGAGGTTTTAAAATTTCCACCCCAAACTAATAAAATAGTAGTTTCACAAAGTTACTTACAATGTTTTGAATCCATTCACTTCTTCAAAAGATTAGAAATCTCTACTTTACTCAAAGCTACGGTGCCTGGGGGACTAAGATTTATTATCTCCAGCCAGGAAGTATTAAATATAAAAATAAGCTAAAGCCTTCTAAAAACAAAAGCATACCAATATGTATAACTCTATTAAGAATATGTAATAATTATATATAATTAGAGCAGAAGAGATCAATGCCCTAATTCTATACACATATGAAAGCTATACCAACAAAAAACACATACTTTTTTTTCTTCAGGATGTCAGCTCAACATTTCCCTTATCAAAGCTTCTTCCTCTACAAGTCAAACTTTGCAAAACAACCCTAAAACTTCTATCTGCGATTCCATTTTTAAAACAAAAACAAAATATTTTGATATTTTATTCTACTGTATAGGAATATGAAAAAAATTCCAAAGTGATTTTTCCAAAATGTTTTATGTATGTCCAAAAGATTCCATACCTCTGCTGAGAGACTATAGCTTTTGCTTATATATATATAAAAAAAGAATAATTTGTTTATATGTCAAAAAATACAAGAAAAAAGACAACATATACAAAACAAAAAAAGTTCAAACTCCTAATGTAACCTTCAAGAAAAAAAGTGGAATGGGGGGGAAGTATGAGACACTGTTCAAAGGGCACAAAGTTTCAATTATGCAGGATAAATTAAGGAGTACTAATCATAGCATGGTGACAATAGTTAAGACTATTGTGTTGAATACCTGATATCTGCTGAATTTAGGTCTTAAATGTTCTTACACCAGACACCACTAAAAATGGTAATTATGTCAGCTCATAGATGTGTTTTCTTGTTTCATGTTTTTCAAAATATATGTATATCAAAACATCAAAGCCAGGTATGGTGGCACACGCCTGTAATCCCAGCACTTGGGAGGCTGAGGCAGGAGGATCGCTGAGAGTTTGAGACCAGCCTGAGCTACACAGTGAGTTCGAGATCAGTCTCAACTACACAGCGAGACCCTGTCTCAAAAAACCAAAAACAACAACAAAACATCAAGTTGTATACCTTAAATATATAAATTTTATGTAAGTTGTACCTCAATAAAGCTAGTGGGGGGAAATTAAAAGAAATCCTTTAGAATAATACTATTATAGACATACTGTTAAGAAGGGCCATAGTGTCCCTTTCTATAGAAATAAAGAAGCTGGACCAAAACAGTAAAGAAAAACTATCTTAAAAGTTACTAGCAAAGAAGGAACACTGTTGCGGGCCAGGGTGGAAATAAATCCAGTATCACATAGTCATTAAAAAAGAAAGAAGAAAAAGCAGCAGCTATTGCTTTTAAAGGAACTGGTTATAGATCTAACATTATTTCAGTTTTTTAAAATATTAAATAATGTCAGTATTTACTTTTCTGGCCTTTTCCAAGCCAAACTATTTTCTGACTCAACTGTGTGAACAACTCGCACAATATAACAGAAGAACCGAAAGGAAACCTCTCACTTGACCTTTCCTGTGTAACTTCATTCATTGATTCCAATGCATTAAATGCTGTCACATTTGTAGAACTGAAAAGAACAATGTCAGTAGGCTAAGTGTCAAGTCTTGAAAATAGAGAGCTGTCATTTTAAGTTGTCCAATTCTTTGCCCATGATTAAAAAATGAATATTTCAGATCAATGGGTGACAATCCCATTAGAGTGATAGCCCATGATATCAATTACCACTTCAGTTTCAATTTGGCTGGCCGGCCACAGGGTACCATTTCTCAGCTTTACTTGTGATGGGCTGGCTCTGTGAAGCATGACACCCTTAAATTGCTGCCCATTATCCAGTGTCATTACTTGTACTGCCTCAGAATTCTCTGAATCACAAGCAGCTACTGAGGTCAAGCTTTGCAACCAGAGGAAATGGACAAGTTGGCAAATTCTTTATATAAACGTAGTTATTTATCTGGCACCCAACCTAGAAAATCTAAAGTTTCCATTATCCTGACAGTATGTCAGTTTTGTGTAAGTTTATTGATTTAATAATTTAAGAGGTTTTATCAAGGTGGCAGGAGGTTAAACGTATGCTGCTTGCATTATTCAGAGTGTTGCTTTGTTTTTTTGGCCTGTATCATGCTGATAATAGATCTATTTAACTCCTCTCTACACTCAGCTATAAATACAAAATTATTCCTATAATCATAAAATTACATAAAATTTGACTTTGAGTATGATGTGATACATCTACCAAAAAAGCAAATGAAATGCCCTGGCAGTTATCTATCCCATAATATGAATTTAAACATGCTTATAATGACTTAAAATGAAGAATCACATGGCTGTCTTTCCTATCTCCACTAACATTTTGCTAGAAATGATTTCAAAACAGCCAATAATTTTTTTTCTGAGCAAAACTAATATTTGAGAGCACTCTTTGATTACTTAAGACTATTCATAAATTTAAATTTTTAAATTTTTTTTGTTTTGTTTTGTTTTTTGAGACAGGGTCTCACTATGTAGTTGAGACAGACCTGGAACTCACTATGTAGCCCAGGCTGGTCTCAAACTCACAGTGATCCTCCTGCCTCAGCCTCCCGAGTGCTAGGATTACAGGTGTACACCACCACACCCTGCTCATAAATTTAAATTTTTAACTCTAAAAATGAAATTATTTTCCATACTTCTCCAATTAGTGCACTTCTTTATTCTGAGAAGTAAAGGGTTAGGAAATGGATATTAGTAGTCATTTGATAATCCCAACATATTTTTCAAAGCTACAGCATAATTTCACTAAAAATTTGAAATAAAAACAAACTTCTAAAAATTAACAAATTCAGTTTGTAGAATACAAAACTGACAAAAATTTCTAAGCACTGACTTTAAACTTGCAAAAATTATTACATAAGCCCTACCCATACACCCAGACTGAAGTGGAGTAGGGGCTGGGAGAAAAGGAAAACTTCATTTTCTGATGCCTTAGCAATATTAAATTTGGGAAGTTGCAAAACACTATTCTATTTATGCAGTAATATTTGTTTGAAGATCTCGCTACATGCATTTTATAAATTGAAGCCAATTAAATGCAATTGAAGGACTTAGTAGTTAACAAAAACATCCACAGCAATATATCTCTTAATAAAGTTTCACCTTACTAATCCTATGTGTAAATCCTAATTCCTTCAGAGTAAAGCAGTATTTTTTTAAAAAATTGTTGTCTCCTTGTGATTGACCACACCTAATAATAAAAATAAAACCATATGTTTTAACAAGCTCAGCGTCTTCTATGAAGAAAAATTTATCAATACTGTGATTAAATTCCAGTGAGGAGTTGCACATACCCAAACTTTACACTGGCCCCATATATAGAGTATTAAAATAATTCCGAATTTTATCACAACATGAAATCAGACTAAAATACATATTTCATTTTTTTAAATTACATGTATTATTCAGGCTACTATTTTGAAAAAGATTTGTTAAAGATTTCAAACATGCAAACATATCCCTAGCTCTTTGCAAACAATTAGCAATTTATAATGGTTCAACTTACTTTTAATCCATATTTTGAATCTACCACAGTTATGATACCTACAAAGGAATAAATATTTTAATTATCCATTTTTAAAAAGCTGTTTGTTAATACTGTACAACTATATTTGAGGAGGAAAACCAATCTCAGTTCATAGGTGCTATTCAAGCAAACAGAAATTTTTCATTTTATCAATGCTGCTATTAAATTCAATTCCAGGAATACGTAAATGCAATTCAAATATGTATTGAGTGTCTAGAACTGTAAAGTATTAGAGAAGACATAACATAAATAAATTTTAAAAATTAACAAGAAAGTAAGGTTTACTATTATCAAGGATATATAAAGAACTCAAAACAATCAGTCCCCCCAAATATAAAGACCCGATCCAAAAATGGGCATCCGAAATGAACAGACATTTCTCATACAAAGAAGTGAAAGCAGCAAGAAAATATATGAAAAAATGTTCCACATCACTGGTCATTCGAGAGATGCAGATGAAAACAACACTAAGATTCCACCTCACCCCACAAAGAATGGCTGCTATCAAGAAATCACACAATAACAAATGTTGG